GCAATTCACTTAAAAATGAACATTCTAAATTTAAAAATAATGAGTTGCATGGTAAGAAAATAAATCTCTCAAGTGGTCATACAACATTTCAGATTCTGGGCTTTTAGTATTCCTTTCTGCAAAGGTCAAGCATTGTGTGTAAACATTGTAAAAACAAGGATCTGCATCTATTAGAACTTAATTATAAAAGTTCAAGCGCAGTAATTGAAGGAGTACAAAGTGTTCAAGCTTTTATCCTCTTCACTTTTGACAATTTTGATACCATCAGGCAATCGATCAGGAAACTCTAAGACCCAGTGTTAGATAACAGGCATTTTAATAGCACTGCTGAATCCATGGGGGTAATCCTAACATTCATAGCTTACACAGATCTTCAGTAAGTATACATTACTTGTGTCATATATGCAGACGTTTTCCAAGAGATATATTACATATGCAGAGGTTTCCTAGAAGTATGTTACATATTCAATGACTGATTCTAAGCAGGATCTCCTATTTTCTTGTTACAAAGACTCTGCAGAACTTCCTTATCTCCTTCATTCAGAGACAAAGCTCTTTCTGTTATCAAAACAGATTGCAGGGCAGGAGTATACATCAATGAACACTAGCAAGCTTAATAGTATTGTTACAGCTTGTATCACTGTTGGTAAAATAATATAACAGAGTTTCTCCAAATGGTGAATTTATAAATGTCTGTTCCAGCAGGAGTTTTCAGTTTGCTACGTATGAGCAATCTGGGGGAGAAAAGAATCCCTACAACTACTGTTGTTCTTAAGGCCCTTTGCACATTCTTTTGATGCTACTGTCAGCTGTGCATGGAGACAACTATTCAGTGCTCTTCCATGGAATGTATTCATTGACAGGTCCTTTTTAAGTTTTAAACTGCCACTGCACAGAAATATTCAACTTATGTTGAAGGAGGTTAATTATTTCTGCTGCAGAAAGAAAAATAAAACCCTGTATGAATGAATAATTTTTCACACGCAAGATCTACTGCTTGAACTTTTTTTTTGTTTTTAAATTTAGATGGCTGAAATGAATATGTTGGTTGTGGTTCCTTTTCTTTTCCATTAAAAAAAAAAAAAAAAAAAGGAGAGAAAAATCATGCAGTTTACTGATTTCTGTCTTTCTGGAAGGTGATGTTTGTCAGGAAAAAAGGAAAGGATTACAATAAAAAAGGAAAATACACCGTGTATTTTCTGTTTTCCAGTGAGTCGCTTTGATGTTTGAAACTCCAGTTTAGAAATATAGAGGGGTTTTTCATTTGTTGTCATTTTTTTCAGACTGAGTGTTATGAAAAGAGCAAATTATGAGAATACAAGAAAGGTCCCTTAACTTTGGCTAGATTAACTGCAGCTACTCAAAAGGAAAAAAGTTGTTTCCATTTCCTTTAAAAGGAAGGTTAATTTGTTTAGCAGTAGGGATTAATACATTAGTTTTAGAATCAATATATTAATTTAGCAAAAGGGATCCATAAGTTCTAAAACTTTCCATTTCTACTTTAGTGGGTAAATAGTCTTGTTTTCTTCAATAATTTTGCACTGGGGACATAGTAGAATACTTCTGTCTTTTGTTTCAAAATGTGCTAGGACATTTTCCTCAGGTTCCACGTATATTGTTTTTAAAAAGTGTCTCACTGTGGCCTAATAAGCAATGGAAATCTTCCAAACTGGGGAAAAGTGGATGAAAACCAGTCAAAGATTTCAGTGATGAAATTGATTGTGAAAAAAGGGGAGGAAGTAGGTGTGCACTTGACCACCCTAAATGCCACTGACATGCTCAAACAGACATTGGCACATCTCTATGAGTCCTAGGAAAAAATGAATATGTATGCTGATGTACTGCATATGCATGTATTAACTATTTAGATGTAGAACCTGAACTCTTAGAGCGTGCGCTTGCTTGTCAAGTCATCCAGTGTGCATCGTGATGAATAAAGAAACATTGCTTTCTAATGACTCATTGGAGTTTAGGAGTTTTCTTCCCTGATTTCAGATGACAAAGTCCACATCTCTTCATGAAGGGATTCTGTAGAACTGTCCTATACACCAGTGTCAGGGTTACATGAGCAGGAAGTTTCTCCTGCATCATTCAAATATGTAGATTTACAAAGCTCGCAGGGTGAAACAGGTCCACTGGGACCAGCCAGCAATATCTTCTTGATCATTTACTAGCACACTCTTCCCCACCTTTTCTCTTACTGAATTCGGTAGTTGCATTACTAGCATAAGCACTGTATAGTTTTGTGTAACAATGATAAGAGGACATCTCCAGTTTTCACATATCTTCTCTGTAGATCTTTTCTTTCATATTAAAATCTCATGTTTACTCCATTTACCTCAAAATACCTTCCTAAAGCCAGAGAATTAATTCACCTCTCCAGGGTATTCAAGTTCAAAATGTTCTATGAACTTCACATGGAGGAGGTGAGTAATCTGCAAGAGTACTATAAACTATATGAAATGCCATTTTATGCAGAAAAAGGGCATTCTTGAGGTTAAGTTTCAAAAAGTCTTCAGCCCAACAGTGAACTCAAAATCATTATAATCAAAGATTTCAACTGCAAAGTAAAGCAGTTTAAGAAGACTTGTAATTCTGTAGCAAACATTAAGACCTGCTGTGACTGTAAATTACAAAAGTATATTGCAGTGTAACCCAGAATATAGCTAAATATATACATAGCCTTTTCCTCATCCTTACAGCAAGATGGGAGAGAAAAAAAGGAAAGAGGGAAAAAAAAAAAAAAAAGAACATGTAGGCTGAGGTAAAAACTATTTAGTAAGACAGGAAAGGAATAGAGAAAAAATAATAGTAATTATATATATATATATTCAAAACAAGCAATGCAAAGTGCAATTACCACCCACTGACCAATGCCAAGCTGATCCCTGAGCAGTGACCGCCCCTGTGACCAACTCCCCAGTTTTATATTTTTTTCACAACATGTGTGGAATATCCCTTTTGACCAGTTTAGGTCAACTGTACTCATCCTGTCCCTCCCAACTCCTTCTTCCCCTGTAGTCCTCCTCACTGGCAGGATAGTATGAGAAGCTGAAAAACCTAAATATACTTGTCTCTGTACAACACTGTTCAGCAACAAGTAAAACATTGTGTGTTATCAACATTCTTTTTTTCCTAAAGCTCTGTCTCAGCTGAAACCACGACAGTGAATTTGTTAGGATGACATTGAATTGCACTGAGCCTGAATATAAATGCAACTGACAGCATATGTATGCATTTCATAGCACTGTGATGGCATAACAGAAACAACTTTTTACAGGTATATGAGCAATGTGATGACCAGAGGGACAAAAACAGTAAGAGGTGGCACCCAAGCAACAAGAATCTGGCAGAGAGCAGAAAAAAATAGCATAAGTGACTGAAATAGGCAGTCCACTGCCTAGAGGAAGAAGATTGGCAAGAAGAAGAAAAAAGCACAATCAATGTTAGTAGGGGGATAACAGCTTAAAAGCATGAAAAATAAACAGGAAATATAGAGCAGAAAGTAGACAGTTCACTTTCCGGTCTTGAATTCTCTCCTGGAGGGACTCACAACCCTGACAACCTTGATTTTGGCAAGTGAGAATTGCCAAAGCTCATGAACAACAATTTTATCTTTGCAGCATGAACTCTGGGATATTTATACACTGACAACTAACTTTAAGTTGCTTGTTAAAGACCAGGAGTTTTTTTATATGTAGTGATGATCATCAACTTTATGTAGTATTTGACCACTGGTAAGAAGTGTGTTGTTAATTAATAAATGCAACCCAAAGAAACATAAAGCTGCATTAGGGGATGGTCAAGGTGGGTGTTAGGAAAAGTTTATTGATTGGAGGGTTGCTGGGCTCTGGAACAGATTCCAAAGGGCAATGGTCATGGTACCAACCTCATGGAGTAAAGAAAAATTTGGATGGCGTGTTCATACTTAAGGTGTGAATTTTGGGTGGTCTTGTGAAGAGAGAGTAGCAGGACTCAATGACAGTGTTTTGTCATCTTATGATTAGCTTACAGCATAAAACTGATCTGATTTGTTAGTCTTCTAAGCACTCCCATTACAGTAACCTCTGCTTCTCTGACTTCCAAAATTCTAGTTGCAGCAATTTAGTGGCTAAGAAGAGGCATTTTCAAATACTAGAGTCAGCTCAAAAGGAGAAAGGCTGAAACCCAAGAGTAGAAAAACATACTTCTGGATAAGGGAGAGGGGAACTTACATAGTTTGCTCCTTAGCCACATGAGCACATGGTGAAAATTATAGGAGAAGACAGTTCTGTGACATCTCTTATTGGAGCTGTATCTTACTCAGTGCAAGGATGGTGTAAGTCTCTTTGGAACTGTTTTATATGTGGAAAAAATGTAACTAGAGGGAGTATCATAAAACAACATAATTCAGAGAAATCCTTTAAGGAATGTGTTTGGAGGGGCAAAGAGGACAGAAAATGAGAATTCACTTTAACCACAATCAATATGAATGAGGTTATTTGTACAGTTGTTAACTAGCTCTTGTTAGTGAACAAGTGCAATAAATAGAATTGTGCCTTGGTCAATGACCTGTTCTGAGGTGGAATGCTTGTATGATGGGGATGGACATAAATGTTCTTAAGTTTGCATGATATTTTCTGTATTTCTCTACTATTGGAAAAGCTATTGCACAGAAAGTAATCCATCTTACTATCAGAAAACTAAATAAAAACACATAATTTTTACCATGCAAAATTAATTCTCTTCTTCACCCAAAATGCGAGGCAGTACAAAAAGAACGATCATTTCTTTGAAATTTCCTACTTCCCAGCATTAATATTAAAAACTACTTATTAAGTCAACTTATATTCTTAGTTTCTTAAGTCTTCCTGGTGGATCCATTCTCCCTTTGACTATATACAACAAATCACAGTACTGATTGTCTGTTATATTCTAAAACCTGACCACAAGTGCATGTCACTTATTTTGTTCTGAACATTCTCTCTTTTAAATTATTTTATCGGTGATATCTATCCTACCTAACATTGTCATGCCTTTGAATGTAAATCTTGTGGAAAATCCTTTCAGGAGGCTTCAAAAAATCTTCCTTCATTTCCATTGCAACATTCCTAGGCAAAAGACTCATCAAGAGACGTTCCTGGAAGAAAAAAAGTAAACATCATCAGTTTTGTGCTATAGAAAGTTCTCATTATTCAGCAGTATTAAACTAGCAAACTAGACAATCTTTTCCTAATGTAGTCTTCCTGACAACATTCTCTGCATGAATAGATAAAAACTATGAATCATTTTTTTTCAAACTTCTACAGCCTCTTCTTCCTTTTTCAGATTTCTACATTAAAAAAACAAAACAAAACAAACAAACAAAACTACACAGAAATGGAAGAGGAGGCTACAAATCATATAATTTTCATTAACATCACAGTGCTAATAATAAAAAGTTTATCTCTTGTAGCATTTATCTAGCTAAGAAAAAAAAAAAAATCCAGATCATTTGCTTGTCCTTTTGTGTGTCCTATTTCTGAATCTAATGAAAATGTTGCATTACAAGTGCTAAGGCAGCTGGATATTAAGCAGGAGCGGATGATAGATTTATTCACACAGTGCGATTCAAAGGAACAATAATAAGGGCACTGTTTTAATCACATCCTATCTATCATAGCAGTGACTATTCCAGCCAGCTCAGTAGTGGAATACAGTGGTATTAATCACTGGTTAAATAGATCTCTGTTTACTATATGCTCAGATATTTTAGCGTATGCTACTGATCTACACAGAAAGGACCCCCGATGTTTTGGATCTCATTAGAGTTGACTATAAAGGCCTATGCAGCTATTGCATGTATTCTGACCTGTTCACAGGGACCTAGAGAACTTGCAGCAGGTGTTCTTAGGTGTTGTAAGGAGTACTTGGAGACTTACTGAAGTTCTGTTTTAACACAAAAATACCTGCAACTTAAAATCCAATAGATCTTTTTTTGTTGCTGTGAATAGTCACAAGCCTATCCATCAGACCTGCTAGCTTCTGCCATGGCAATAGTTTGAAGGAATTCATATGACCACATCTTATCTGGTGGCTGGGAGCCACACTAATGGCAATTGTGAGATATCGTATCACATAAGTGCAGATCCTGGTCAAATTCCATCATCTTGTTATTTGAATGGCATTAAATAAGAAAGAAGCAATAAATAACACAAAAGAGGGTATCTGCACAGACAACTGTGTTGTGTTGCTCACACACACACTCACCACTTAGAAACTCCTAATAATACTTCAGAGGTTTCTTTTTTATAGTTTCTTCTGAAAGATGGCAGATTGAATATTTATATGTCACAAGGGAATAAGTTAAACGTTAGAGAATCGCCACAGTTCGTAATTTAGGATTCCTTCTTCGCTTCAGTCTCTACTGGTAAGACTGTCAGAATGGAATTCAGACCATGGAATTTATTTGGGAGAGAGTATGGGGAAAGGAAGACTTCCACTTAGTTGAGGAGGATCTTGTTAGAGATTGTCTAGGCAAAATCAATTGCACACAAATCAATGGGCCCTGAAGAGTGCTGAGAGAGCTCATTGAAATTTTTGCCAAGTCGCTCTCTATCATCTTAGAAAATTCCTGGAGAATGGGGAGGGGCTTGAAGACTGGCGGGTATCCAATGTCACTCAAAAACATCAAGAAGAAGTATCCAGGCAACTACAGGCCAGTCAGCCTCACTTCCATCCTTGTGAAGCTGATGGAGCAACTTATATACCAGATGTCATCACCAAGCAAGTAATGAGAATGTTATCAGGAATAGTCAAAATGCATTCACCAAGGGAAAACCATTCTTGACCAACCAAGTAGCCTTCTATGATAGAATCACTGGCTGGGTAGATGAGAGGAGAGCAGTAGATGTTGCGTACCTTGACTTCAGCAAGGCTTTGACGTCGTTTCCCACAAAATGCATACAAAGAAGCTTAGTATGGATGGGATAGATGAATGGAGAATTACGTAGATTGAGAACTAGCTGACTAACAGAGCTCAGACTGTTGTGATCAATGACTCTGGGTCCAGTTGGAGGCCTGTAACTAGCGGCGATGCCCAGAGATTGGTACTGGCCTGGTCTTGATCAGCATCTTCATTGATGACCTTGAAAACATCAAGAAGATTTACTTTGGAGTGGAGGCTCACACTGAGGGATCCTTCAGAGGCAAGACTGCAAGAAAATCATGGAAAACTATGCAAAAGAGGCTCAGGAAGAGCAAGGGAGCCCCCAGTCCCCGTGACTCTTCAATGACCATGGAGTATATCATAGTATATCATACATTGCACCTGTTGGTGGTCTTGTGTGCCATGGATCTCAGGGGGTGTAAAAAAAAATGTTTAACTAGTACTAGAACGGCCAGGTCAATCCTCCAAGGTGAAATACATGCAGTATTCCAGTTCTGGGTCAGTATTTCTGCCAAAATAAGGGCATGCCCAGGCATTTTGTACCACAGCCTTTGTCTTGATACTGATGTTTGTATGATCATATCAGGCACTGGGGGTGTGTTCTGATCTGCCAAAGCATAAAAAACAGTGTTCCCTCTGCAATGAAAATCAGGGTTTGTATTATAATTTCTGGGATCCATGTACCGATGACTTGTGGAATTGTTACTGAATCCTCTCTTCCACTGTTACCTCCTCCACAGTGCAAGTAGGCCACAACCAGCTCAGTCCTACCTGCATCTCCCCAGGCCACTTAGCTTTATGGACTGCTGCTGCAAGGGGAGGGAGCTATAGATTATTCAGCATCCCAACATGGTGTTTCAAGCAGACAGCATTTCCCTTAGTCGTATAATCGTCTAGGTTTAAAAGGACCTCAAAGATCATCTAGTTTCAACCCCCATGCTATGTGCAGGGTTGCCAACCACCAGAACAGGCTGCCCAGACCACACTCAGCCAAGTTTGGAATGTCTCCAGGGATGGGTCATCCACAACCTCTCTCGTCCTATCATTATCCACCCTCATGAACAGCCATTCCCCCTCCTATTTATACTCCCACTTCAAGTACTGGAAGGCCACAATGAGGTCTCCCCGCAGCCTTCTCTTCTCCAAGCTGAACAAGCCCAGTTCCTCCAACCTTTCCTCATAGCAGAGGTGCTCCAGCCCTCTGATCATCTTAGTGGCCCTACTCTGGACCCACTCCTCAAGCTCTGCATCTTTCTTGTACTGGGGGCCCCAGGCCTGGATGCAGTACTACAAATGGGGCCTCACAAGAGCCGAGTAGAGGGGGACAATCACCTCCCTCTCCCTGCTGGCCACCCCAGAACACAGTTGGCCTTCCAGACTGTGATCACACTGCTGGCTCATGTTCAGCTTCTCATCCACCAGGACCCTCAAGTCCTTCACCTCAGGGCTGCTCTTAACAAGTTCTTCCCCCAGTTTGTATAAATACAACCCCAGGACTGTCCCATGTTACACTTGGCCTTGTTGAACCTCATTAGGTTCATGGGCCCACTTCTCCAGCCTATTCAGGTCCCTCTGGATGGCTTCCCTTCCCTCCCGTGAATCAACTGCACCACTCAGCTTGGTGTCATCTGCAAATTTGCTGAAGGTGCACTTGATTCCACCATCTATGTCATTGATTAAGATACTGAAGATCACCAGTCCCAAGGCCAACTCTTGCAGACACCACATGTGACAGGCCTCCACCCAAACAGAACTGTGGATTGCAACCCCTTTGGCTGTGACCAGCCAACCTGTTCTTAATCCATTGAACTGACCATCTTTCAAATCCATACCTCTCCAGTTTAGAGGGAAGGATGTGGTGAGGGACCACATCAAAGTCTTTGCAGAAGTCCAGACAGAAGACACCCATTGCCCTTCCCCTGTCCACCAATGCCATCACTCCATCAACAGGCTGCCCAGGGAGGCTATGGAGTCTCCTTCTCTGGAGATATTCAAGACCTGCCTGGAAACTACTTGTGCGACTTGGTGTAGGGAACCTGCTTTGGCAGGGGGGTTGGACTCAATGATCTCTGGAGGTCCCTTCCAATTCCTACGATTCTGTGATTCTGTGATTCTGTGATTCTGTGATAGAAGACCACCAGATTGGTCAGGCACAATCTTCCCTTGGTGAAGCCATGCTGGCTGTCTCAGATCACCTCTTCATCTCATATGTGCTTTAAAATAGCTTTTAGGAGAACCTGCTCCATGATCTTCCCAGGCACAGAGGTGAGGCTTACCATCCTGTAGTTCCCTGGGTCATCTTTCTCCCTTCCTTGAAAATGGGAGTAATGTTTTCCTTTTTCCAGTCACGAGGAATTTTATGTGATAGCCATGATTTTTCAAATATGATGGAGAGTGGCTCAGCAACCTCATCAGCCATCTTTCTCAGAGCCCTAGGATGGATATCATCCAGCCCCATGGACTTACACACATTCGTTTTCATGAGGAGGTCGCAGACATGTTCCATTGTTACAGTGAGATGGAATCCACTGCTCTCACCCACACCTAGAGCATCAAGGTCGTGGCAGGCATGGAGAGCCTGACCACCAACAAAGACTGAGGCAAAGCAGGAGCGTTGGTCAATCTTCAGCTGAACATGAGCCAAAAGTATGCCCAGGTGTCCAGGAGGGCCAGTGCCATCCTGACCAGCAGGAGCAGGGAGGTGATCATCCCCCTGTACTCAGCTCTGGTGAGGCCGCACCTCAAGTACTGTGTTCAGTTTTGGGCCCCTCACTACAGGAAAGACACTGAGGCCCTGAAGTGTGTCCAGAGAAGGGCAAGAAAAATGGTGAGGGGTCTGGAGCACAAATCTTATGAGGAGTGGCTGAGTGAGCTGGGATTGTTTAGTCTGGAGAAGAGGAAGCTCAAAGGAGACCTCATTGCACTCTACAACTACCTGAAAAGAGGTTGTGATGAGGAGGGGGTCAGCCTCTTCTCCCAGACGACAAATAGGACCTGAGGAAATGGCCGTGAGTTGTGCCAGGGGAGATTTAGATTTGATACAAGGAAAACCTTTTTCTCGCAAAGAGTGGTCAGGCACTGGAATCGCCTGCCCAGCAAGGTGGAGGAGACACCATCCCTGGCAGTGTTCAAGAGGCATCTGGATGAGGTGCTACCAGATGTGGTTTAGCAGTTTTGTGGGTAGTAATGGCGATGGGAGGACAGTTGGGCTA